CCAGCACCTCGGCGCTCGCCACCGCGCAGAGCTCGTCGTAGCGGCCGCGCTTCGCCGCGAGCGCCCGCAGCGCCGCCGCGCTGACGCGCCGGCGAGCCCTGCGAGCGACCATCGGGTTCGCGAGGCGCCGGAGCGCGCGCACGCCGCGCATGGCTCGCTGTGGACGGCGACGACAGCGGTGGTGGTTGCGGAGTGTTGCGGCAGCTCGACAAAGAGTCTCGACGTTGGCACGATGGTCGCGACGCGTGCCGCTCGTCGCAGCTCCATGAGCGCTCAACGAAAGGTGCAGATCGTCGAGCCGCCGTCGACGCCGTCGACGATGCTGCCCGCAGCATCTCGGGAGGCAACGTCTTCGAGCCGTACAGAAGCTACGAACAACGACGACGATGATGCTGTTCTGGCGGCGGCGGCGCGGCGGACGCTGGCCATCGACGTGAGCGACGCCGTAGCCGTCGTCGCGCAGACGACGCCCGTCGCGCAGCGGCGCGAGGCGCGGATCTCCTTCGCGCCGGACGTCGAGATGACGCCCGCGGCGACGCCGCGCGGCGACGCGACGCCGGCACGCGGCGCCGCGACGCCGGTCCGGAGCGCGCTGCGCGCCGACGGCACGCCGATCCGCAGCGCGCTGCGCGCCGGCGCGACGCCCATGTCCGAGCGGCGCGTGTCCTTCGGGCCCGGCGTCGAGTCGCCCAAGGCGTCGCGCGAGCGCAACCACAAGCAGGCGCGCATCAGCCCCGCCGTCAAGGCGAAGCTCGAGCACGGCCCGCTCCAGCAGAACCACTGGCTCAACCAGTCGCCTCGAGAAAAGAACGCGCGGCCGAGCCGCCGCGCCGCGAGCCGCGCGAAGGACGCGTAGGAGGCGCGCGCGTCCGCGTCCGGACCCTGTGTCGTAACTGTAGAGGTGCTGTAATTTCGTGGCGCGTCCGTGTCCGGACCTTGTATCGCAACTGTAGAGCTGCCGTGTGTTCGTGGATTACTGGCGAGTAGCTTCTTTTTGCGCCGGGAGTGGTTACTGGAGAGTTGCAGCGACGACTCGGGCGCGCCGCGGGGACCGGGGAATACCGCGTGGCGGTCTTGGACGCTTCGGGCCCGGCGGCTCTTCGGCCTTCGGAAAGCCGCCTAGTTGGCGGCGGCCTTCATGGCCGCGCCGCGCTCGGCGACGGGCACGTTGCTCAAGAGCGACTTGCGGGAGGACTTGCGCGAGCCCGTGGCCTTGGACGCCTTGGGCGCGGCCTTCTTCTTCGCGCTCTTCTTCGCCGCGGGCTTCTTGGCGACGGTCTTCTTCTTGGCCGGCGCGGCCTTCTTGGCCTTCTTCGCGGGCGCCTACGGGTACAAGAGTTGGCGCGGAGTCTGGAAAAACTTCCCGAGGCGACAGCGGGCGCTCACCTTCTTCGCCGCGGGCTTCGCGGCGGCGGGCTTCGCGGCGGGCTTCGCGGCGGGCTTCGCGGCGGGCTTCGCGGCGGCGGGCTTGGGCGCGGCCTACGATAAACGAGTCGGAGCGCTCCGACAGTCTCTCGACGACGGCGGTCGCTCACCTTCTTCTTGGGCGCCGCCTTCTTCTTCGGCGCAGCCTTGGGCTTCGGCGCAGCCTTGGGCTTGGGCGCGGCCTTGGGCTTAGGCGCGGCCTATGGAGAAGAGAGTCGGAACACGTACGGACAAAGCTTCTCGACGATGGCGGGAGCGCACCTTCTTCGCGGCCGGCTTCTTCGCGACAGTCTTCTTCTTCGGCGCGGCCTTCTTCGCGGCAGGCTTTTTGGAAGCGGGCTTCTTGGCGGCCATGATTAACCTGCGTGCGCGTCCGGGTCGTACTTCACTCTCGTTATCGGGTCGCGCGCGAGGCGACCCGCGAGCGCGCCCTCGATTTCCGGGGGCGGCGTCGAGGCCGTCTTTCCGGTACCGACGTCGGCCGCCGGGCGCCCCGCCTCATTTTTGACGCCCCGCGACGGCGGCAAATCTCGTAACAGTCCCGCTTCGGACGGTTTCTCCGCCGAAGCCTCACGAGCGCTTTTTCCGAGGGGTTCAGCGCCCGCAGGGGTTAGGGCGGTATCGGGCGGGGCGGGCGGGCGTGCGTGAGCGAAGTAAGTCGATGACACTGGCTCGCACGGTGAGCGAGGCGGGAGTTTTAAGAGCGACGAGGTGGTCCTTCTGGGGCGAGACGCTGAGTCGCCAAGATCTTCAACATGTCAAGGAGCCGGCATCAAAATCACCCGAAACCAGTAGGCTCCCCGGTTCAAGAAGCGAAGCCTCGACGTGGCCGCAACCGGGCGTGCACACGCAGGCGACTTCCCTAGAACCTGCGGCGCTCGAATTCGCGAGCCGCGAACACGGACGCCGCTCCGAGTCGCGCCGCCGCGGTTCGCCGAGATCGGTCGCGCGCCGAAACCCAGGAAGCACCACGAAGTACCCACAGACCCACGTTCCGCAAGAGAGGTCCTCGCGATCCAGCCAGGCACCGGTCGCCCGGAGCGCGACGGCGCGACACCAGTGCACCGATCAAAACTCAGATTCTGATAGCCTGGATTTAAAAGTCAACATTTTTGTTGAACTTCAGCACTTTTGTTGAAGTTAAATCTTGCGATTTCGCGACCCGAACCAGCGACCGCGCGCAAAAAGCCATCGCAAACGTGCAATTAACGCGCGAATATCATCAAACTTGCTTTGATACGACCATAACCCAATTTTGGCCGTGATTTCAGCCCGCGGACCGCCGCGACACCGCGGCCGCGCGCGCGGTCGACGTACAGCCTCTATGGACGACTAATGACTCTGGCTCCGCCGGCCGGAATTCGATGATTGATCTTTATTAATTAATTTCCTACGGGTGCACCTAGATGTACGTTGATCGGGGC